ATAATAACTCATGACTTTATTCCCGACATCAAGGACTTTCTTACTTACATGTACACCTCTTGCCACATAACCACTCAGATGTTTACTAATCACGGTAGATTTTTTGCCTACCTGGCCAGGTTTAAGAACACTGACAGCCCTGAGTGCTCTATTTGTGGTACCACGGACAGTAGTGCACACTACATTCTCAACTGTTCAATGTTAGACTCCATCTCAGGATTGTTACTGAGGCTCATGACTACAATTGGCCTCCCCAAAACCTTAACTGCCTCCTCAGGCACAAAGACACATATGGTGCCCTTATCCACCTCATTGCTATGTACTTCAAACGGACATCTGTACCAGCATACTCTTAGTATATTGCCACTGTTTTCATTGTACATTCGCGCTCAATCTCTCTTCAGTGCAACCTCCACTTTGTTCCGCGTTTGCTCTTGTAAGTGCAAGAATTTTCTTTGCACTATTCTGCACAGAGCTTTCAAACCCACTTACTCGTCTATACCTTTAACTATACGCGCTCTATATGTTTGTATATACGCGTTTTGTTTGTGTGTACTGATGCACCCCTTTGCATCAGTCTTGTTCATGCCCCACACTAAAGCATGATTTTGTTCATTCTATTATTTTGTATTATTCTCATTGTAACCTATCAGGTTCTGTTAATTTTATTCTCCTGTACACGAGTCTACCCGGTTATGTTCCACGGCACCGGATATGTACTATTGGTATGTTATAAATGAAATAAACTGATATTAAATAATAAATGGTTTTTAGTAGGTCCGCTGCTCGTTTAAACTCAACAGTCTGTGCAATATCTGCTATTGGTCTAGATTCGACCAATCCTGTCGCGACACGAATCAGCAATGACGTTTTACCGAATTATAGGAGTATTTTTAGCATGTTTGTATGAATACTGTCGCAGTTTTTTTGCTGTGATATAGGAATGCGAACTATAGGAACCCGTGTTATAGGGGGGGTCAACTGTATATTATAAAGTGCTGCTAAAACTCAAAAATGAGTCCCAATATGAGGGAGTTATATGGTGTGGTAACCCTCTATCCCCCATCCACGAAGAAGGTTCCCGTTTTTACCTGAAAGGCGTGCTGCTGAAGATATAAGGGCTGGAAGTTTTGCCCTCTAAAAATTTCTAAAACAGTCCAGAACATTCAAGAGTATTTGAGAGCATTCCATAACATTCCAGAATGTTCTGGAACATCCTGGAACATTCTGGAATGTTATGGAATGCTCGCAAATACTCTCGAATGTTCTGGACTGTTCTAGAAATTTCTAGAGGGCAAAACATTCTGAATGTTTGGGAACATCCCAGATCATTGTGGAACATTCCAGAACACTCTCAAATGTTGTGGAATGTTCTGGAACATTGTGGACCATTTGAAGCCTTTTTTGTATGGGTAGGACTACTCATTGGTGGGGATATATAAAGCAAGATCCGTCGTGGGTTTGAACGTCAGTTTCTTATCAGTGACGAAGGGAAGAACTGAAAAAGAAGTGAAAATTCCAAAGTAATGCAGTGAGTGAATAAAAACAAACAGTGAAGTGTGGGTAGTCAAAGTGATACAGTGACTGAATATAAATCGAAAATAAAGTGTGAAAACTGTGTAAAGTGTACTTAGTGTATTTGTTAATAAAAAGTTGATTTGATTTATATTTTATGCAATGCCCAAACTTAAAAGAGGAGGAGGAGCTCTTGCCAGTTCTGAATTTTCTTTTGAATATTACTGGGAATTTTCTTTTGAATAGTAAAGTTGATATTGTCGACAATATTATTTTTAGTTGCCAAAATTGCCCTTTAAAATAGCCACTCCAAATAATAATAAGAAACACAGACCAAACATTTAGGAGTTGAAGGTTGAAATTTGGTACACAGTTAGGGTGCATTACGAGAACGTACACTAATAAGGAATTTTTCAAAATTCCCCCCCGCAGGAGAGAGGGACAGGATTAAGGCTTCCCATGAAGAACTTGGCTTCTATTATACTATTTTAGATGCTTTTTTTGCGTTTTTGATTACGTTTTAATAGGGTACATCATGAGAATGTACACTAAGAAGGAATTTTTTTAAATTCCCCCCATGGGGAGAGGTTGTTAACACTTCCCCATGAGGAAGTGTTAACAATGAAAATGTTAACAATGAAAGTAGTTAAGTAACAATTGAAATGTTAAGAGAAAGCGACATGCAAGATTTACAGGCGCAGATGCGGTTTTTTGTGTTTTTGCAAGAAATCAAACATATTTTTAGACCCATCTAAAAATTTTCTAATTAGTCTGGAAACAGGGCAACATAATTCTTGCATTCTGAGAAAACAGGTAAGATTGGCTATAATGTAATAATCTTAATCTTCGCTATTGTTACTTTTTGCCCGAGCAACGCCGGGCTTATCTGCTAGTAAAAGGTATAAATACATATGCTATCCCAGTCTTGCTTTATTTATTTGGTATGATCAACTATAAAAATAGTGACCTAAGGAAAATAAATGTCAAAACACAAAAGTTACTAGCAATTAAAAAGGCACATCGGCAAAAAGCAGAGGTAGAAAGACTGTATTTGCCGGTAAATCAAGGAGGAAGAGGACTATTAAATATAGAGTACATGTATAAAGCACAAATAGTTAAATATAAACAATACTTAAAAGACAAAAGAGATCATTTGATCAAAGTAATAGTAAAATATGATATAGATAGGGATAAATATTCAATAATAAAAGAAGCGAAAGTGATAGAAAGTGAATTATATTTACCATGAGGAAAAATACATACAGATGAAGAAATTAAAAAATCAATAGTAAAATGGCATAATGCTGTTTGGAGAAATAAACAATTACATGGTCAATTTCCTAAAAAGATGTTAGATCAGAGTAATATAGATAGAGAGCTTGATTTGAATGGATTAAAAAGAAACAAATAGCCTAGTATTGAATCTTTAATATTTGCTATACAGGACCAGGCTGTTATGACACGACAATATCAGCATGACATCTTAAAGGAGCCAGTGGATGGGAAATAGTCACCTATGTGCAATTAAAGACGAGACAATGCAGCATATTATATCAGGATGTGAAAAACTGGCAGGGACTTGTTATGTAAGATGTCATAATAACCTTGTCCAGTACGTCTACTGGTGCCTGGCCCAAAAACATAAAATAGAAGTTGCTGACCAATGGTGGAAGGAAATATTACTCCAGTCATAAGTTAAGGAAAATAGTTCAACCAAGATACTATAAGAAATGCCTGTCCAAACTAATGTCATTGTATCTCACAATAGACCAGATTTAATTTATGTTGATAAAAATCATAATAAAACATTTTTAATAGATATAACTGTACCATCAGATTATAACATTGGTGCTAAAGATATTGAAAAATTGAGTAAATATAATTTTTTGAAATTGGAAGTTAACTGCCTGTGAAATACACAGATAACTGTTGTTCCAATAGTAATAGGAGCAACAGGAATAGTAGCGAAAAACAAAGAAATACATAGATCAATTTGAATCCAACATTGATATTACTATTCTTCAGAAACAGGCAGTTATACACACATCACTTATACTCAACAGAGTGCTTGGAGATGCTATCTTTGAGGTCAATACAACAGATCAACTCAAGCATGATATACAACAATCTCAAGGCATACAGCAACCTTCAAATTCGCAACAGTCATCAGATATACATTATTCATTAGTTAATCCAGATTTACCTAATACGAGTTTTGAGACTAGTACAAAAAGCTCATCTGGAAACTTCTTGAGAAGAGGAAAAGGGAGGAGAAGAGGAACTATTTGTATTTTACATGCAAACAGTTCCTCTTCTCCTCCCTTTATATAGTTCCTCTTCTCCTCCCATGCAAATAGTCTCCTCTTCTCCTTCAAGTGCAACTAATACAGTAAAGGGGGGAAATAGGTATATTCTTTCCCGTGGGTTATGGGATGAGGTATTCTTTATTCCGATGTAATTCGTGGATATTTTATTATAATAATAGATACTTTATACCTTTTACGATTTTGCTTTCCAATTTGTTGAATTTCATTATTTGAAGCTGGATTAAAAAATAAGCATCGTTCAGTGGTTCCTATTAAAAGCCTGCAGTAGCAATATGCAAGTTGAATTACTGGATAATTCTCTTCAATTAGCAAGTATGATGATGGTATGTCAACCTATAAAAATATTTTATATTTTATAAAATAATATTTATAATATTGTAGTATTACAATACTACAGTATAAATCTGAAATTTTCCCACTAATAATCTGATCAAAGAAATCAATGATTTAATAATTATAAACTATAGTGTCTTATGAATAAAAAATATAAAGATGCACAACAAAAAAAATAAATTTAAATATAACTTGTTCAAAACTGTTTATTCCAGAAATAAGAAGATACTCTATTTTACACAGTAGTTATGCCTTCACTATATTTATCCCAGTTACTGATACAGTTTTAATGTCATTTCATAAAAAAAGAACTATCTGGGGAAACCAGGAAATCAGATATTTATGTATGGTGAAAGCTGGCATGCTGGTATATCCCAAGGAAATGTCAGCATGCCCGTTTAAGTGAGGTTATAGATTCATCTCTAAAGGGTGCATTAATTAAAAAAAACACGACTGAGTTATGACACATAAAAACAAAAGAATTTTTATTCGTTTTAGTGAAACTGTCAGTACTACATCAAAAACTATGATTACATGTTTAATTTCTTTATTTTGTCTTTATAATGATGTAAAATACTCTTATAATTCCAAAAGTGCTTTTTTTTATGTGTATTTTATTGTTATTTGGTTCAAAAATGCAAAAAGAAACATATTATATTTAAGAAATTTGCTTTAAATTATCTCAGCTTACATCAATTAATATCAGCTTTGTGTGAAATTTGAGAGACAGGTATTATTTTTAAGGTTAAGGTATATAGTCAGTCAGTCAGTCAGTCAGTAGCCCACACTGACTAACTACTACTACTAATAATGTCAATGTTTTATTGTCTTGTAAACAAAAACTTTCTTCCTGGTTTTAAGTCAGTCAAATTACAATGTTTTATTTTATTGTATGTTTTCTTTAACATTTAATTAACAACTAGTTTTGTTTGATTTGATTAATTTTATATTTTAGTTGCAGTTTAACTGGCATGCCAGTAATCCCAGGTTTTCAGCATGCCGATCATTCTGTGAAAATATGGTAATAATTTAAATAAAAAAACTATGCAAGAATGCAAGAATAAATATAAATATAACATCATTCTTGAATTCAGTATATTTCATTCCAAAATATATTAAGATTCATTCATTAGTGAATATTTTAACTAAATATAGGGTTCTATAATTAAAGTATCCACAAGTTTCCAGAGAAGGTTCACATATTTTTCCATACTGCAGCACCACTGTCATGCTGCCATTAAGGTACTGCAGTACTATAGAATTTACAATATAATTAATTTTGAAATGACTAATACAAATTCATTTATAACACCCACTTTATTAGTAATATGTACGGATTTTTATATTTTAAAATCATAAAGTATTTTCAAATGTTTTTACACAAGTTTAAATTTTCTCTAATGTAAAGAAAAAAATGTGCTAAATACATGGTGAGAAAATATCTTATAAAATTAACAAAAATTTAAAGTAAAATTGTGAAAACTTAAATCCTATTTTTTTCCTAGATAATTATTGGCAAAATTGACTTCTAAAATTTTTTAATTTCTAAATTCACTGTTATTGTCTATCAGGAAATATTTATATTGCCATTTAATTTATAAGTAGTCAAAAATATTCACAGAATATCATAGAATTGCAAATGCAATTCTATGCAAAATTTTCAGATTTTTGCATAGTTTCTACAAACTTGTATTTTCTAATTTATTTTGTCAGATGGACAGTCATTTTCACCAATTAGTACTATAAAATTGTGGAATAATGACATAAGAGAATGGTCACTTTTGGAATATGCAGCTTTATACTATTGAATACTTAATTAAAAGTAAAACCTATGATTACCAAGAAATGCTTAATTACAGGTGTCTTGACTATTATACAGTGAAACCTCCATTAATGGACACTCCCAAATAGCAGACACCTCTACTTTATAGACATTTTTACAATCCCCAGACCCTTCAAATAAAACATCTATCATTTTGTGAGGGAGCTGAAGGGGGAGAAGAACAAACTAACGATATATGAGATATATCATTATCGTCTCCATGCCATCTGGACTGCCAAGCAGTAACAGTCAACGTCATGTGGGAGCAGTTAAGTCAGAAGTTAATGTCTCATTTACAAACAACACAACCTGTTTATTAAACAATTTAACTTACAAAAAGTTCATAGTCATGAAGGGTTTTAAGTCCTTGTATACTTCAGTGCATAGTCTTCAAAGAAGAAGAGGAAAGTCCAGCAATGAAGGTGATTTCCATTCGCTGATCAGATGTTGCATTCTAAGTCCAGTTGTCAAACAGGAAATGATGTCCGATGCACATTCCAATGAATGCAGACTGAAATGTCCAAAGTTTCTCTCAATGAAGGTCCGATCTTCAGAGGACCCAACTTTCAGAGGATATATTGTTAAAGGATGAAGATGGAACCTTGCAGGAAGCACCCCAACAAGGGACATAGCCTCATGAGAAGCCACAACAAAGAACGAAGTGTCCTTGTAGCCTGGGCTTAAATATATTTTCATCTCACAAATCATCACTTTATTGGTTATTAATCCCCTTTCTTGGTCCCAGATTGGTCTTTCTCTGTTACCTGGTGAAATTGGACCAGATCAGTTCCTGAGGAAGATGACTGTTTATTAATACAATTCAACACAGTCTTTCATTTTGTGTTGAATGAACCTTGTACCTTTACTAACATTCCCCTTTTTGTTCGTCTTGTCTTATAAAAAATTTAATTTACTAATTTTTCTTCTTTTTTTTGCAGGGTTTTAATATTAAAATTTTATTTTTTTCCTTTTTCCTTTATAATTTAATTCCCTTAATTTTAATTAATTGCAAAGATCAAGGTTTGTTTTTGTTTTGATTTTTGGTTAAAAGAATGTTTTTCGTCCCAGCCCAGGGCCTCACACATTTACCTCTAAATAGCAGATGCTGTCATCCACAACAAACCTTACAAAAATGTAATGTACTGCCTTCAATATTCTGAAACAAGTAATCACATACAAAATATTTTAAAATGAAAACAAAGAATCAGTTCAAATATTCTTTCAGATGACAAATTTTGACTGTAGGTGTTGAATAAAGACTGACCGAAAATAGGAATAGGGAAAAAGGGCAGGTTGTAAAAAACTAAACAATATTCTTTATCTGTTAGAGAAGGCTAATCTGGTTAAGTTGTCAATCACTGCTTATTGTCATACATATTAATGTTATTAAACTTGGTGTTATTGTTGGAATTAAGCTTAAGGTACCAAGAAACCATAAATTTTTCCTAAATCATTCATTCATTTAACAAGAACCAAAAGAATAAAAAGAAACTTAAAATGATTATGACAACAGGATTTATGTGGTGAAAGTTCAAAGGTTGTATTATAAAGGCAATTTGCCAGCCAGTTTAAAGTATGGGAAGATATTAGTATTCTTACATTTATGATCTTAACAACTTTTTGGTGGCTAAGATATAATTTTTAATAAATCATTTATTGCAAAAAGCAAAAATGTTCAAAAAAATACTACTTGATAACTACAAAGTACACAAATCACTATATCAATTTTTATTAGTCACTTAGATCACAAATAACATTATAAATGCAAGAATGCCAAATACTTTTACCACCCCTTGAAGTGGCTAGCAAATCACTTTTATCACTTGGTTTCAAAATTACTAATGAGAGTTTGAATGTCATGTCATTATTTGTTCCATTTTTTACCAAAAAACTGATTCAAACTCTCACCAGCTAAACTGACCTTTGTCCACCTTTCTGTTCAAAACAAGTGTCCTGTCCAATCTGTTTGCTATTCAATTAAAATGAGATTTTTACAGCTGAAAAGATAAATATACAGTATATATATTTTAATTATATATCCTATTTATACTTTTTGGTATATTCACATCCCTACTACAAATTTGATGTTTTCATAATCCATTATGTTTTTCACTATATGATGATCATGTTAAAATACAATATAGCAACCAGCATGTACTGTACCTCCTAAAGTCAAATGCACACATGCGGCGCGGCAAGGAAAAGTGGCAGAATGACGTCACTTTTTCTCGCCGCAGAAGTCAATTTTGTGCCGCAAAAGTTGATTGAATTCTATCTTTTGCGGCAACGCTGCCAAGACGCGTTTCTATCAGCCAATAACAGTTTGTCTCGTAGTCACGTGAGAAAATACAATCACGTGGTGTTTTAATGGTGGAAAGTTCGAGGCAGTTAACCGAGATAACTAAAATCAGAATAAAGAGGAAAGGATAAATTTAAAACAAATTCTACACAAATAATCATATATAATTTAATTCAAAGAACAAAACAACCGAATCTTACTCGAAACAGTATTCTTTATCGAGAGATCTTGATCCATGAATAAGTCTATTTTGTAATACCAGTTCTTTCTCAATCCAAAAAAAGTATCTCTAATTCAAATCTTCGACAAAATCTTTTAGCTAAATAAAGCGAGCCATACAAAACAAAATTTGTAAACACGTGGATAAGGGACAGTGTGTAAACATGTGGATATTGTTCACCATCTTCAAATACTGAGCGCATGCAATCCACTTACATTTCGTAAGTGGATTGCCACTTGTGTGGTTGTGCTGCCACGTGGCGAAGATGCGTTTGCGTCACCGCTTTTCCTTGCCGCGCCACATGTGTGCATCCGGCTTAACAGTGAACACCCCTAAATAGCAGACAAACTTCTTGGTCCCAACAGTGTCTACTATTCGGAGGTTATACTGTAATTATTTTTCAAAGGGTAAAGTAGATGAGATTTTAATTAATAAATTATCATAAAACATTTGTGTCCTTAATAGAAATGTAGAACCTTAACAAATCCTATCTGTAAATAATCATTTTGTATGGACTTGTGCTTCTAATGATGACAAATTTATTTATCTATCTGGATTGTCCATTCAGTTTCATTACCCATTCTGTTCTTAAATTTTCATCATGTGGAAATGAATGTAATAGGAAAAGTTAAATACACGAACAATCTTGATGCATCATATTTTCATGTACATTACAGTACATCACACACAGCTTCAAACCATTTATAAAGAACTCTCTGGCTATTATGGCAGCCAATTATTGCCATAATATCTACCTGAACTAGTTTTATAAGGCATGTCGCCAATGAAAAACTAAAAATTTCAGACCTACACTAACAACTAGCAGTAACTTAATGCCAGTCAAGACATATGCCTTATGTGGCAGAAGTCAAAACATGTTCTGGAAACTTGTGGAGACTACTTTAGATCACATTAGAGACAGATCAATAAAATTTTTTATGCATATTTATCTTGACAAGAAAAAAGTATGAATAGAGTTTCAAAACATAGTTACAATTTTTGCTACTAGGAAGGGATCTGTAATGGCACCACTATCAACCAGCAATATCACATAACAACAGTGATCTATCATTCACAGTCAGCCAAACTCTTTTCTTCCCTAAACTACACCAAAGAGGATGTTCAACTAACATCATGTTGTAAGGAACTGAGTCAGAGCTGTATTATTATTTAATTTTTATTTTACTTTTTATTCTATTTTGTTTGGGATTTATGTTTAGTTAGGACAAAGGTTCCCTCACCACTCACCTTAGTAACGAAAAAAGAAACAAAAAGAGACGAAGGAAAAAACCAACTCACTGACTAGACAAAGCACCATAGGAAACTAATGCGCACTTGTGCTCCCAGGCAGAAGTTTGAAAGAAGTTCCATAAAAACAAGGGGAACACCCCATACACACACAAAGTAGAGAATTCGCTAAACTTTCATAAAGTAAACATCCCGAATATGTAATAAAAAAGAATAATGTAAGAGGATTTAGCGATTTAGCAAGAAACGTCAGAAACTAGGCTGCCCAGGAAAAGACATGCAAATTTATTATTAGAAGTTAAGTATGTAAATGAGGGGCGTGGTTCCAGAAATAATTGTGACGTCACCTCAGAGTATAAAATGAGCAGGACCAGAGAAGACAAGCAAGGTGAGCCCAGACAGAAATAGAGCGATATGAGCTCCAGAGAGAGATTGAGGTTAATTCCATAGAGAGAATGGAAGCAAGTTTGAGGATAGCGAGAGGAGTAATTCGAAGAAAGTAGGATAAAAGGAAAAAGGTTCCTAGTATTGAGGTGACAGATAAAATTGTAGTTTCTAAGATTCATTGTACGTAGTCCTAATTGTTTGATATTGTCGAGTTCCAAGGAGAAATAGTTTCTAAGTTAGTAAGTAGCTTGTATTATATTTGTCGGGTTTTGTTAATTGTTTCTTTTCATTGAATGAATTGTTTTTGAGTCTTACTAATTTGTACATAGTGAATAATTGAGTTAATATTAAGTATTTGACCCTTGTACATAGTTATTTCCAGAGCACGCATAAGCCCAGGCCTGGCATACTAACCGCAAAACTGCGTAAAGTACGTTAACGGTCGTAAAGTTCAACGATAGTCCCAAACGCCTTACTGACACATAGTTCCATGTCATATAAAAATCCATAGTACTTTACAATGTTTATGCAAGATGATGCAAGATCCCAAACCACAGTCATTGTGAAAGACATACTTTAATTCACATTAGAGACAGATCAATAAAATTTTTTATGCATATTTATCTTGACAAGAAAAAACTATGGATAGAGTTTCAAAACTTAGTTACAATAGTTACATACAGTCTGACACATTTGGCAATGAAAGAGTGACAGTCAGTCTTTTCCAATACAATGTCCTACTCATTCACCAGACATCACATCTTGAGATTTCTGGTTATGAGAATATTCGAAAAGCATGGTTTATATACATGGAATTTCAGATTTATAAGAAGAAAAGAAACAGGTTGAAAGGAAAATGAGTCTCATTAGTCCTGACATGATGCACTTAGCTGTTGTTAATATGATAATTCAATTGCAATAAGTGACAGAGTGATGGAAAGCATGTTAAACAGTTTCTTTAAAACTGCTGCAACAGTGGCACTGTTATAGAGACCTGTAGTGGCAAAATTGTAACTATTTTTAAACTGTCTATTGTTTTCTCATGTCGAGATAAATATGCTTAAAAATTTTTATTGATTCATCTCTAATAGTTTTGTCTCTAGAATGGTCTAAAGTGGTATACTTTAATTATAGACAATCTATACAATGGAGAAACATTTTGAAAATTGATCACCACCTATAGTTTATGAATTAATATTAAATTATGGAATGAAAATTTCATTGATATTCTATTGAAAGCTCTTACCTCATCATAGTTCATTAAAGTGCAAACAACACATCCACCATTATCACCACTAAACAATTTCTCTGCATTTTGACTCCACACTAGAGTATTAATGGATTCTTTATGAATACCTCTAACAACAAAAGTCTAAAAAAATTACTATTTTTTAATATAAAAAACAGGAAAAAATTCATTAGATAATCAATAAAATAAAGGTTTAGTAAAATTTTATAATAGAAAAGTTGTATCTTAAATTACCATTATTGTTAATTTCATTATGACTGTGAAATTGCTTAACTTTTTAGAAATTTACTCTAAGATTATAAACTTTACTAAAATTATGAAAAGAAAAGATTATGATTATGACTTTACAAAATAGACTAAATTTCTAAATGTATTATGACTAGATTAAGATATAGCACTAAGATAAGTTTCATAATTTGGAAATCTGGATAATCTAAGTTTCAAACATAATTACAGTATTATTAAATAATTTTTCAAATTGTTTAAATGCTTTCAAAATGCAAGATTATTGAAAACCATAAATCCAGTTTATATCTTTATTAAAACCATCAATAACATAATCCTGACATACAAAAAATCTACTTGAATGTTTGATTATTATTATGCAATCAGAATAAAAACTTTGTTACACTTCATTGCATGTTCAAATCTTTAATTCCTATTGATGTATTTTAACTATAGTTTAGAAATTCTGCAAAAGAACATTAATTCTTGTAAATGGCCTGAAAAAATAACTCTTTTTTCAACAGTTTCTTCTATTCAAATGTTTGATAATAGATAAACTTAAGTTGTAGATAATGTTCTTATCTGTTTTTTTTTAACAGAAAAATGAAATATTTATATCTATTCATTGTTGAATGTTTGCTTAAACATTTCATAGGTTTGAAACTGTTTTGTTTAATGAAAAACAAAATTTTATACAGATTCACTGATCATTATACATTGTACAAAAATTTCTATATGTTTTTAAATTATAATCTTAATCATATGGTTATACAAAAAGAAAAAGAATACAATTTGTTTGCATTCTCATTCTTTTACAGATTTGTCTAAAATATCTATATTGTCATGTTGATATTTTTGTATTCTTCAATTTCATTGGATGATTATTTGTCATCACCATTACTTTACATTTACTCTGAACACAGTTAAATAGAAACATATCAATAATCTTGAATTGATATTTGCATTTTATCAATAAATGTAACTAGTCTTTTATTTACTTCATATGATGGTTATTTTACTTTCATCAAAATTTCTTACATATTAGTTATAAAGATATTCACTATTCTTATATAAATATAAATGATGCCAATATTTTCTAAATTAAATTATTGATTATGTAGATATTAGTGTTTCTAATGCATGATTCCAAATATTTTTCCTTCACTACTTTAAAAATGAAGTAATATAAACTAATGTAATAGTTAAAGAATGAATTACTTTGTAAAATTACTTTGATAAATGGCATGATATACATTTCTTCCAATAAAAACAATAAATGCAGAATAACTTCTGCTTATATATTTTTTTTATTGAATGTTATGTTTGAAACTGAATGAAAGTTGTAATAACTCCAAACTGCTTTAAAGCTGCATTATTTAAACATACTTTAAAAACTTTAATAATCCAGGATTAAATATTTTTTAAAATATTACAAATGAAAATAATCACAAAACAAACATAGCCTTCTTTATGTCGTTTGCAGCTACAGATACACATTATAAAAGACATTTTAAAAAATTACAATTATTTTGTAATTATCTTTATTTGTAATATTTTATTTAAATGTATAGTTTTCAAAATTACAATTGAGCAAATCTGAAATGAATTTACAGTAGAGCATCGTTTATCAGAATCAATTGGGGACTGGGGTTGTTCGGATAACTTATTTTTCGCATAACCAATTATGTACGGAAAAATATATTAATTTATCCCATGTTGAAATTTTTCTCCGTTGCGTGTCGCTTCGTATTGAATTTTTGTCAACGTTAAGCCTAACAAAGACTATTGTAGCGTTAAAAATTATTTCTTTATTTTGTACAAACAAAATAAATATATTGAAAAATATAAAAACAATAAAAAATTATACTTCAGAAGTT